TCAATTAATTCAGCATCCTTTGCACAGGAGAGGGGCCCCCAACCCCATCCCCCAGAGGAGGGGCAACCCCCAAGAGGGGGAGCCCCATCAATTAGAGGAGGGACACCCCTTGAGAGGGGCACCCTGGAGGAGGGACATCCCATCCTCTAGAGGAGGGGTACCCCTCAATATGGGGACATCCTCCCTAAAGGAAGGGCACCCCATCCCCTAGAGGAAGGGCACCACTGGAGAGAGGGATGCAGTCCCTAGAAAAGGGGCGCCCCCGAGAGGGAAATCCCATCCCTAGAGGAGGAGGGACACCCCYGTTCCCTAGAGGAGGGGCACCACTCGAGAGGGGGACCCCATTCCTAGGGGAGGGGCATCCCATCCCTTAGAAGAGGGCACCCTTGAGTCACGGACCCCATCCTTCACTGAAGAGGGGCTTCCCCATTACCTAGATGAGGGACTCCCCTGGAAGGGGGACACCATCCCTAGTGGGGGTACCCCATTCCCTAGAGGGTGGGCACCCCTCAAGAGGGAGACCCAGTCCCTAGAGGAGGAGTGTCCCCCAAGAGTGGGACCACATCCCTTGAGGAGGAGGGGTGCACACGCCCCCATCCCTAGAGGAGGGTCACCCATGAGAAGGGAAACCCATCCCCCATCCCTCTAGGAAGAAGGGCACAGGCCCCCCATCCCCTAGAATTTGGTCCCGAGAGGGGGACCAAATCTGTAGAAGAGGGCTGCCCCTATCCCCTGGATGAGGGGCAGCCCCCAAGAGGTGAACCCCAACCCTAGAGGAGGAGAGCCCCAATTCCCTAGAGGAGGGGCACTGATCAAGAGGGGCACCGTGTACCTAGAGGAGGGGCAACCCCCGAGAGGAGGGGCAACCCCCCAGTAGCTGGATTACAGGTGTGAGCTACCACACCTGGCTAATGTTTTTATATATTCTTTATCAGGACGGTCATTCCTTGAGAGGGGACCCCATTCCCTAGAGGAGGGGTACCCCTTGAGATGGGAACCCAGTCCCTAGAGGAGGGGGACCCCTCAATAGTTGGATCCAGTCATTAGAGGAGGGGCACCCCATCCCCTCGATGAGGGGCACCCCTGGAGATGGGGATCTCATTCCTAGAGGAGGAAGGGTGCCCCATTACATAGAGGAGGGACACCCCTCAAGAGGGGGACACCATCCTTAAAGGTGGGGCACCCCATCCCTTAGAAGAGGGGCACACCTGAGTGGTGGACCCCATTTTTTGCAGAGGAGGGGCGCCCTCATCCCCCAGAGGAAGGGCAACTCCCAAGTGGGAGAGTCCCATCCCCTAGAGAGGGGCACCCCTTTGAGAGGGGGACACCTTTCCTAGTGGAGGTGTGTCCCTCCCCTAGGGAGGGGCATGCCAGGAGAGGGAGACCCAGTCCCTAGAGTTGGCGTACCCCACTGCCCAGAGAAGGGGTACCCCACAAGAAGAGGAGCCCCATTTATCACTCAGGAGGGGTGCCTGGCCCCATTCTCTAGTGGAGGCACACTTCCTGAGAGACGGGGTCCCCAAAGTGGAGGGGCACCCTCCCCCATCCCCTAGTGGAGGCACATCCATCCCCCAAGAGGGGGATCCCATCCTAGAAAAAGATGCGCCCGCCYCCATCCCTAATGGCGATGTACCCCTTGAGAAGGGGACTCCATCCTTAGTGGAGGGGGACCTCATCCTTACAGAATGGGGAACTGGGAACCCCTGAGAGGCAGACCCCATTCCTAGAAGAGGGAGACCCCATCATAGAGGAGGGGCACCCCTCGAGAAGGGGATCCCATCCCTAGAGGATGGGGACCTGGGGAACACCTTGAGATGGGGACCCCATCCCTAAAAAAGGAGAGGCAAAACCCAATTTCTAAAGAAGGGGCACTCCCCAAAGGTTACCCCATCCCTAGAGGAGTAGGGGCACCCCCATCCCCTAGCAGTGGCACACCCACTGAGAGGGGTGACCCATCTCTAGAGGAGGAGCGTGGTCCCATCTTCTAGAGAAAGGGCACCCCACAAGAAAGGACATCTCCCATTCCTAGAGGAGAGGTGCCCCCATCCCCTATGGGGGGCACATCTCCTGAGAGGGGGGGAACCCATCTCTAGAGGAGGAGGGGTGCCCCTATATTCTAGAGAAAGGGCACCCCACAAGAGGGGGGAGCTCCATCTCTGGCACAGGAGGGTCATGTGCCCCACCCCCAGAAGAGGGGCAACCCTGGAGAGGGGGAAGACCCATGACTTGCATAGGAGGGGGCGCCCCCATCCCCATCCCCCAGGGGAAAGGCAACACCCTAGAGGGTGAGACCCAGCATCATGCTGTTAATTTTGCTRTAGTTCTGAAATGCTTATTGTAAATTTCTTTTTTTTTTTAAAGAGAGAGTGAGAAGGAGAGAGAGAGAATTTTTTAATATATATATTTTTTTCTGTGGGCACAACATCTTTGTTTGTATGTGGTGCTGAGGATCAAACCCAGGCTGCACGGATGCCAGGCGAACTTGCTACTGTTTGAGCCACATCCCCAGCCCGTAAATTTCTTTATTAATGTTTTTACACTCTTTTTTTATTTTTTTTCGGTAACAGGAATCTACTCCATGGGCACTCTACCACCAAGCTACATCCCCAGCTTTTATTTACTTTTTATTTTGTGATAGGGACTTGTTAAGATGCCCAGGTTGTCCTTGAACTTGGAATTCTCCTGCCACTCCAGTAGCTGGATTACAGGTGTGAGCTACCATACCTGGCTAATGTTTTTTTTATATATTCTTTATCTATGAGTCCTTTGAAACACATAGTCTTGCAAAAGTGAAAAAAAAACAATCAAACAAGCAAACAAGTAAAAAATAAACACTCTTCTATAAAGAGCTTAAAGCCTGCTATGGATCATTAGAAGAACTAGAAATAGTCAACAGTTAGAACATTCCATAAATTCTGTCTCAAATTTTGTTCTTTGTTGAGACGTGACTTCCCCTCTGCCCCAGCACTGTATATTTGGGAAGTCAGGATTAAATACATATGCAGGCTGGGTACAGTGGCCTAGGCCTGTAGCCCAAATTCTCAGGAGGCTGTGGCAGGAGCATTGAGAATTTGAGGTCAGCCTGGGCAATTTAGTGAGCTCCTGTCTCAGAAGAAAAAGTAAAAAGAGCTGTGAATGTCCTTCGGCTGTAGAGTGCCCCTAGGTTCAGTCCCCAGTACTGCAAGAAATAAACGGAAGTTCTGTTGCTAATTATAGTGGACATAAGCACTTAGAGAAATCTAAATTGTTAACATTTGGCCCAAAAGATTACAATTGAGACTGAATCAGTTTACTGATGGTACTTCTGAAATGGGGCTGTGATGTGAAATTTTTGTGGGGGAATTCTGTCCAGAAGTTCTTAGGACCATAATAATATATATCTTGATTTTTGTATTAAATTTTTTTTTTCAGTGTGGAGGTGGAATCCAAGGCCTTAGACATGCTAGATAAGAGCTCTGACACTGAACTATACGCTCCAGCCCCAGAATTTGCCACAGAATTAGCAATGATACTCTATTGATTTCTTCCCCATAGCCCACTTTTTTTATTTATTTCTATAAATAGGGTCTTTGTGTTTTGTTGCAAAGGGACCACCTGAGGACAAGATTATATCCAAAGCAGGAGATGATCAACCTTATAGTGTATTTTGGAAGAATATTACATTGTTACTTTTTTCATTTAGTTTTTATATATGGAAACATGAACCATATCCCCCAATCTCTGGCAAAGAAAAATTGGCATATAGGGAATTAAATATTTAGATTTTTCAAGACCTCAGTGTGATCATATAATGCTATGAGTATACCTGATATTTCCATGGAGAATATTTACCTTTCTCAAAGACTGAGTTTTTTTTCCTTCTGATAAATTTAGATTAGAGGTATCAGTTTTTCTTGGAGAGATTTTTAGTTCAGATAAAATGTTTTAGGTAAAAGTCTCAGCTCCAGCTCCAAACTCACTAGTTGTGTAATTTTGGGCAACTTAATTAACCTAAACTTCCTTGTGGTCTTTAGGGTTGTTGTGAAGATTAGCACCAACAAGAGGAAAGTATCCAACAGAACACTATGCACTTAATTGTCCCCTCAAAGTAGCAACTCACAATGCAATGGTATTTGGAGATGAAGCCTGTGGATGATAATTAGGTCTAGACAATGACATGAGAGCGGACTTGTGAAATAGGATTAGTGCTCTTATGTAGCTCAGAGGTGGATGTGTGCTTAGTAAGGGCAAGGCCCAAAGTTTAAACCCCAGCACCAATTAAAAAACAGGGTGGGGTGGGAAGAGGTAGAGAAGGAGAGAGTACTCTCTGTCTCTACCATGGGGGGAGGATACAACTGTCTGCAAGCCAAGAAAAGGACTTTCACTAGAATCTGACCAAGCTGGCATCCTAATCTAAGACTTCCAGCCTCTGGAAATGTGAAAAAATAAATTTTTGTTGATGAGGCTTCCCAATCAATGCAGTCTATAGTATTTTGTTATGGCAGTCCAAGCCAATTGAGATACAGGGCCACATACATAGTAAGCCTGCTAAAACTTGTTACACTTGTTTCAGGCTGACCCTAGAAGAAATTTCCTCTCTATACTTGAGGTAGCAACTATTTATGTGGACTTGTTTTCCTGACCCTAATTCAGAAGAGACGACCCTACTACTTAAGTCTTATTTGAGTTTCTTGGCCTTTGCAATACTGAGCATCTCTTTATTCTGTAGGGGTGCCCATTGATGTGATTTTGGTTTCTTCCATTGGTTGGATTGTCTATTTTTATTCTAATGATGATAAAATTATTTTACTGATGCTATCAGAGAGCAACCTTATTAATTTTATACTTGTTTTCTTGGAGACAATATTGTTAGGAAAAATAAGAGAGTGGAAAGGAGCCAGGCTTCATTTTAGTTTTGTGATGAGGAAGATCCTACAGAGGATACGATTTGAGGTGAGAGTATGATAATTTACATCATGGCCCCCTTTACCTCTACAGMTTACTTTTTGTAGTAAGCTAAGAAAATTAGGTAAAGGATACCAAAGAGTAATATTTTAGGATATTATCACCTGCAGGTAGATTATTTTTGTTTTGAAGATTGTGAGAAAATTGGGTGTAATTTTTTTCCATGAGCCGAAGTGCAATTATTATTATTATTATAAGATGATGTTAARTATATTTGTTAATGGTCTGTTTGTTTCCACTAGCAGGTAGGCTTTGTGGAGGGCAGGAATCAATGTTGATTGATTTATTCTGTATCTTAAGCACTTAGGACAGTATGTGTGCAATAAATACCTGGTGAACAAATGAAGGCCCAAGCAGTGCGTAAGAACTATTTTTCTACCAGAGATTCATTAAAAAGTGTTGTTAAGGTTGGCAATGAGAGGTGATGACATTCTGAAAGAAATATAGCCTCACTAGTCAATAGGTTCATTCATCTCCCAGTAGAATGAATGTAATGTGAGAGAGAAGAGAAATTCTCTCAAGTCATGGGCATGTCTCTGGCTTAGAATCATATTTCAGGAGAAAAAAGGCATCTTAAGAAAGAAGCAGAAACACCAAGGAAATATTTGAAGAGTGTCAAGAGATTCAGTGAGGTAGTGGGGAAATCACAGGGACTACTGCAGAGTCTGAATCCATTAAGATGGTGGCAATGTCAGTGATAAGGATGTAAGCTTGAAAGTATTGTGTCTTCTAACAAATGCCAAATTGCCTATTCATTGAAATGTTTGTCCCCTGGCTGCCCTTGAGTGTCTCTTTCAGGCTGTCTTTGTGCATGTTGTCTTGTGCCCATAGGAAACTTTGCCACACGTGTTCTTCATGCCCCCTCTCTGTGCAAAAAAATAAAGACAATTCTATCCTAGAGATGGAAAATATTCCATAGAGAGACCCTGACAGCAGGAATCTAATTTCTTTTTTTCTTTTTTTGGTGGGGGTTACCAGGGATTGAACTCGACCACTGAGCCACATCCCAGCCCTATTTTGTATTTTATTTAGAGACAGGGTCTCATTGAATTGCTTAGTGCCTCACCACTGCTGAAGCTGGCTTTGAACTCAAGATCCTCCTGCCTCAGCCTCTCGAGCCACTGGGATTAAAGGCATGCACCACCACAGCCAGCAGGAATCCAATTTCTTGATATATATATATATATATATATATATATATATTAAGTTCTCTTGGTTTTATTTGATATATAATTCAGCTATGTCTATCCTAATCATTAATATGTTAAAAACATTGAAAATTGGGGAATTAGATACCAGTTAGCATTTCCTACATAATAATGACCAAAAAATTAGTTATAAAAGCAACCATTTTGATTGGGTGTTGTGGCATGTGCCTATAATCCCAGCAACTCAGGAGGCTGAAGCAGAAAGATCAAAAGTTGAGACTATCCCCAGAAACTTAGTGAGGCCCTAGGCAACTTACAGCCTGCCTCAAAATAAAAAATAAAAAGGACTGATGATGTGATTTAATGGTTAAGTGCACCTGGTTTTAATCCCCAGCACCAAAAAAACAACCCCACCTCCCAAYRCACACACACAAAAGCAACCATTTTATTCATTCATGTCTCAAGTCAGCAATCCAGGCTGGGCTTATCTGGGCAATCCCTGTGCTGATGTTGCTTGGGATGATAAATGAGACTTTAGTCATCTTGTGCCTTCACAGGTCTGCTCTGTGAAGATGACTGCATGCATATGTCTGATGGTCTGTGCTGGTTCTTGGCCAGACCCTAGGTGTCCAACAGATTGGCTCCAATCTTCTTCAAAGATGATATTGTTGGTTTCTGAAGTTCAGTCAGGGTTGGCTGACTCCATTGCTCAGAGCTCAGGCTGAGGCAGAACATTATGGAAGAAGAGTATGGCAGAGAAAACTTTCTTGATATTTTAAAAACTGGAATCTGTTATAACTACAGAATGCAGAAAGATAATGGGCTCCTGCTGCTAATCGGATACTGAGACAAAAGCACAGAGGTGCCTCTGCTGAGCAGAAACCAGCCTTTTCATAAAACCCTGGGTTTTGGAGCACATATTGTAATAATTCCGTGACTAAGCAGCTCATGGATGCAATGCTGTGGTTTCCCCCCCTCTAAAGGTCTTGATTAGGCCACTTCCTTTCTTTTATGTGTTGGAGACATGTATGATTTASGCAGCTATTGAAGTGGAACTGGGTCTCCGTTACCTTTTTTGGCATCTTGCACCCATTGTTAGTYTGGTTCTCCTGTTTAGTGAGTCTTGTGGTTCATATCAGTGAATAGTCAAATCTGCAAGAGAAGCATGATGGTTGTGAGCATCCGCAACATCAAGTTCCAAAGCAGACATGACCATGTCTTCTTGTTCTAGAAATCAGGCACTCAGCTGTTTCATACCTCCTGGATCCTTAATGGTTGAGGCCAATTATATATCACTGAATCCTTTCTCTAGAGTGGTCAGAGGCTGTCAGTTTACACAATATGGGCATCAATTCAAATTGGAAGGGTATATTACTCAGGCCACTTTGGCTGCATGTGACAGAAATCCACTACAGGCTAAATAAAAGAGGAACTTACTGATTCTTATATCTGAAAAGTCAGGCAGAGCTGGTTCCCAAGTATACCAGAAGCCTTTTTCTCTGACTTTCCCTCTGTGTCTGCTTCAAGCTTTTAATTCCTGCAAGCAACATAGCCCCAGGTTTATATGGGCCTAATAGCCCAAGATTATGAAGAAGCATGCAYTCTTGTCCTGGTAGCACAGCAAAAGTCCCTTGTTGGACACCGACAGGCCTTGTGTAAGTCACTTGACAGTCACTGAAAGCAATAGTGGTACCATGAGGCATGGAATCCTCTGACCAAGTCGGGGCACAAGTCTGATCTTAGCGTGGGAGTGAGACAGTCTTAAGGACTGGGAAAGGCTTACTTGTGGAAGAAAGGAGAGGATTTTTTCTTGAAGGAATGCTAGGCTAACCAAATATTATATACCCACAGAAAAAAGGAGAATTTGGGAGAAACAGCACTATCAGAGCCTCTGCTACTTCCAGAAGCTATAGTCAGCATGTATGTGGGGAAGTCAAGCCTATGACCTTGGCCATTGTGTTTATCTCAGAGCCTGAGAAGTARCAGCAGAAGCATGGAGAAGGGGTAGGTAGTAGTAAGTTCTTGGACCAGGTAGGACTCAAGGTGAGGGGCAGACTGGAGGAGCAGCAGCTGGGGGGATGGTCATCCCTAATGAATGCAATCCAGTCCAGAGCACCAAGGACATTCTTAGCTATGGCTTTTAGAGGAGGTAGTGGTGGTKGGAGGTTCTGCACACAATTTTAGGCAGCAGACTTCTAGTTAATGTGTACTTACTTTTCAGAACTCAGTTTGATTTACTAGGTTCCACCTGCTAAGAGTAAGTCTGAACTTTTTACAGTTGTCTCAAATAAGTGCATGTAAATCGAATTTACTTATAATTATTTGAGTAAGATCTACTATCTGCATATAAGATCTATTACCTGCATGGGGGCAAGCTCCATGAGGACAGGCACCCTACCAGTTTTGGCTACTGTTGAATACCTAGTATGTAGCTCAATGCCCAGCATATTAATAATCTAACAATATCAATTTTCTTTAGATGAACTAATGATACTTCAGTTCTGGTAATAGTGATTGGTTTTAATATGAAAATGTAGCGCAAACTGCTTCCTCATCTTATATCATATAGTTTGACATTTTCATTTCTTTTCTCATTTGGCTTAATAAGGGGCTATTTTACATAGTTGAGCTAACTGGGTAATTAAAATTTGAATAATCAGGAGCCCTTTTTACCGAATATGATTTAAATAAAAAGTATGATCTATTTGGAATATAATTAAGAACCTTAAAAGTATTTGGGCTTAATGGAAGTACTTAGTAGAAAACCTACCCAGGTTGCTTCTAAATATTATTAACACTGGATTTCTTTAATTGTGTTGAGTAAAAGTTTGGTATTAGAAATGAATGTCCAAATCCTCTCACCTTGTTTAAAACCCATTGTTAGGCCTTAAACCAAAGTGTAGYTGGGCATGCACCTGTACTCTCAGTGGCTCSGGAGGCTGAGGCAGGAGGATTGAATTGCAAATTCAAAGGCAGCCTCAGCAATTTATCAAGGCCCTGAGCAACTTAGCAAGACCCTGTCTCAAAAGACAAAATAAAAAGGGCTAGGGGATGTGGTTTGGTTGTTAAGTGCCCATGGGTTCAATCTCTGGTACCAAAATCAAACAAACAAAACTGAAGTGTAACAAGGGTGCACACATATGAGTGTGTGCTTTGGGTCCTCACTCCTGTCCTTGGTTATCCCAGGCACTTGGTCATTCTGGGTTGTAGTTGTGGCATGTTTCAGCAGGTACTGTGCTCACAGGTTTGTGTGTCAGCCTCCTCTCCTATGAGCAACTAAAAGGTAAGGGTTATTCAATAATTGGAAAGAATTAAAATTATTCAATAAAATGTCTTTTTTCTTTTTTAAATGGATTGTTAGATAACAAAACTTCTTTTGTTAAATAGTTTTGAATTAATAAAAACAGAAGTCACTAGAAAAAAAAACAAACACCTAACTATGTTTTATAACTTTTTCCCCCAGTGCATCTATAGATCATCAAGATCATATATTTTATTTGGTTTGCCTGGTTCCGCTGGGCATTGCAGTAATTCAGATTCTGGTTTGGAGTCCATTTTCGATCAGGACCAACACAGACTACACAGGAACTCTTTAAGGACAGCATCAACTGCTATAGGATCCAAACAACTTCAGGTGATGGAGTGTACATAGACCTGAAGGCAAAGCTGATCTTAAAAACCTCTCATTMGTTTAGAAAGCAAAACAAATAMAATTAATAAGTTCAACAAGTCTTAKGACTTTTTGACTCTGTAATTTAAATATAAGTTAAGGCCTTTCTTTTGGTTATTTCCAAATGGTCTTGTAGCCTAGACACACCTGTAACTCTTCACCAGTGAATTGCTATGTGAGTTCCCAGAGTCCATCTGGCTGTGCAGGCTACTCTCTTTGACGATTTTAAACTTTATATTGCTTCTCTGACCAATTTATTAATGAGACAGAATTTTTTTCTTCTTTTCATTAAAACTGCATTACCATTATCTGTAGATTCTCTTATGATTAAGAACGAAGAAGGTCACCATACTTCCTGATTTCAAAATATATTATTATAAAGCTATTGTAAATCAGAACAGCATGGTACTGGAATTAACAGCAGACACATTGCCCAATGGAACAAGATAGAAATCCCAGAAATAAATCCATATGCTTATAGCCAACGAGTTTTCAACAAAGAGGCCAAGAGCACACAATGGGGAAAGGAAAGTCTTTTCAATAAATGGTGCTGGGAAAACTGGATATCCATATGCAGAARAATGATATTGAGCCCTTATAAAATACATAAAAATCAACTCAAATGGATTCAAGACTTAAATTCCTAAAACCACTAGAAGAAACAGGGAAAAAGCTTCAAATCAGGATTACATAAAAAGTTTCTGTATACCAAAGGAAACAAAAACAGTGAAGAAACAACCCATAGATTGAGAAAATATTTGCAAAACATGCATCTGATAAGGGATAATATCCAAAATATATAAAAATCTCAAACAACTCCATGGCAAGAAAATAAATCTGATTTAAAAATGAGCAAAGGATCTGGCAAACATTTCTCAAAGGAAGATATACCCGTAGACACAACAGTGTCTACATGTCTGTACATGAATATATGCTCAACATCTCTAATCATAAGGGAAATGCAAATTAAAGCCACAATGAGACTTCACCTCATTCTGTTTAGAAGGCTATTATCAAAAGACAAAAAGATAGCAAATGTTGGTGAGGATGTGAAGAAAAGGGAATTCTGATATATTGTTGGTGGGAATGAAAATTGTTACAGCTATTTTGAAAAAAAGTGTGGAGGTTCCTCAAAAAACTAAAAATAGAATTACCATATGACCTAGCCATCTTATTTCTAGATACATGTGCAAAAAAAAATTAAGATCAGTATATCAAAGAGATATCTGTACTTCCATATTTATTTTAGCATTATTCACAATAGCCAACCTATGGAGGTGACCTAATTGTCCAACGGATGATTGGGTAGAGAAAGTGTGGCRTGAATACACAGTGGAATACTGTGGGGAGCCACTTTGAATAGCCACGCCTTCCAGTCCTGAAGCATGAGGCTCTGACCAATCACTAAGTTTCATGGTGACTTGGGCATTGTCCCAGCAACACGGGTCTAGGTTGAGCTACACTCACCTATTCTTTTGTCATCATATCCCTTGCCTTATTTGGATGGTTTCTTCCCAATGAAAGGGTTCAGCTCATGTTCCTTTCTCTTTCCACCCCTAAGGTAGGAGGACTYATCACAGGATCCAAAGAAAGTGGTATTTCTCTGTCTCTGTGATTATTCGTGGCAGCCCAGTTCAGCTGGAGTGAACTTGAGTGTTTAGTCATGGAACTCGACAGAATGCTATTCAGCCTTAAAAGAAAAGGAAATTCTGTCATTTGTAATAATATGGCTGAATATGTATGCCAAATGAAATAAGACAGGCACAGAAAGACAAATACCACATCATCTCACATAGATGGAATTCAATCATCATTCAAGAGTTTATTTCAGAGAAAGAGAGAGTAGAATGATGGTTACCAGAGGCTGAGGGATTGGAGAGGGTAGTGGTGGTTGATTGTCTAGATTGGAGAGATGGGGAAGGTGAAATGTTGGCTAAATTTTCAGGTAGCTGAGTAAGTTGTAGTGATCTATTGCACGGCCTGRTGACCATGGTCAATATTAATCAATTTGCATTTTAACATTGTTAAAAGAATAGGTTTAAATGCTTTCATCACAAAAAAAGGTGATGTAAGGTAATGGCAATGTTAGTTTGATTTAATCTTTCCACCATGTATGTATGCACTAAAACATCACATTGTACYCTATTAAATTAAGAGTTGGTTCATACAAGTGGGAAAGAACTGAGATGGCTTCTCTGTCTCTGACATCTGTACTTCATAGATGTTTCTTGTTTGCCTATGTGTGCACATACATACACAGACTCAACTGACTACCAGAAGTCTCAGTTCAGCCAACCACCTTCATCTGATGGACTCAGATCTCATGTGCCCACTCAGATTTAATCTGAACATTTAATCTGAACAATAATAAGCTCAGCCTGAGTAATGAATACATTTGCGTGCTAGAGTTGCTTAAGAACTGATCCTTGAAAAACCAGTATATATATTTGTACACATATAACCTTATTATAAATGTTGATAAAAGGATGTATCAAACATGATTTAAAAGAATAAAATGTATCAGAGGTTGAGGTGTAGCTCAGTGGTAGAGCACATGGTTAGCATGCATGAGGCCCTGGATTCAATCCTAGCACCCCAATCAATCAAACAATCAATCAATCATACTCTTTATTCTAAATTCCACCCACCTACAATTTCATTTTTTAAATATTTTTTAAATTATAGTTGGATACAATATTTATTTTATTTATTTATTTTTATGTGGTGCTGAGGATTGAACCCAGGACCTTGCATGTGCTAGGTGAGCACTCTACCACTGAGCCACAATCCCAGCCTCACAATTTCACTTTTTTTGTGTGTGCCAGGAATTGGACCCAGGGGTACTTTACCACTGAGCTATTTTTTTTTCTAGTTTTTAAAAAATTATTTAAAATTTCTTCTAATTAGTTAACATGACAGCAGAATGCATTTAGATGTATTGTATACAAATGGAGCACAATGAGCTACATTTTATACTTTATTCTGAGGCAGGGTCTTGCCAAATTGTGGAGGATATCATTAAGTTGCTGAGGCTGGTTTTGAAAGTGGGATCCTCTTGCCTCAGCCTCCTGAGTCGGTAGGATTACAGGTGTGTGTCACTGTGCCCAGCTTCATTGTAAATTTTTATGATTTACTATAAAGTTACCAAGTCAAGAAGATGAATCATTGCTTGGTTACCATTCAGTTTATCAAAGAAGTTACCTATTGCCGTAGTCCGGCTGGGCAAAATAACCCAGAGGTGACAAGCAACTTGAAGGTTGAACTACTTTATTGCGGCGAGTGAACTCAGCGGGAACTGAGTGAGAACTCAAAGTAGCAGGCACCCAAGGTAGCAGGAGCCGCTTCTCTGCCGGACCGCAGAGGTATATATGCTTAACTAATTACACACAGCTTAACTTAATTAACATCATCTAGATACAGCAGTCAGCCAATAAGGAATCCTCATCATCTTAATGGCTCTCTGCCGTTGCTTCACAATCCACTCCTCCTGGCAAAGTGCCAGGYGCCATCTTGACTTGATTTGCATCCCCAACAACTCATGTCATTAACTAAAGAATGCAGTTCCAACCTAAATAWTGTTTTATGTCTTTGTCTATGTTGCTGAGCAAGACAATAGTGAAACAGCAAAGACCCACCACAGGTTTTGAATAATGAGAAGAATATTTCCTTAATTTTGGGGGGCTTTTCAGTGTTATGGCTATAGATATGACAGTTTTGCGTTTACTTTGTAATATTAGCATTTTCCTTACTACTATTTTTTTCTTTGCTGTGCTGAAATCTGGAGTTTCACACTTGGTAGGCATGTGCTCTACCGCTGAGCTACTTCCCGAGCCCATTCCTTACTACTTTCTTAAGTCTGCACCAGAGGTTGGCAAAGGATAGCCTGTGGGCCATATTTAACCTGTGGCCTATTTTTGTACTGACTGAGATCCAACAACCAAAGAATACCATGTGAGAAACTGTCTATGGCTCACAACCTAAAGTGTTATCTGGCTTTTTACAGAAAAAGTCCACTGACCCCGAACTAGATAAAAACAACAATAATAAACCCACAATAATTTATACTGATTTCCATAGGGCAACTATTTTTATTTTTATTTTAGCCAATGTGATATAATTAAACATAGATTTGGGAAGGAATGAGCAGAAGCATACCATCATGTTTCAGCTATGATAGACATTAATAACCCCAATAGCATAAATAATAGTAAAATAGTTAGGAAATAATGCATTTTGGGTATCACCTTTATTTATTTAAAAAAAATTTGGCACCAAGGATTATATCCCCAGCCCCCCCCCCTTTTTTTTGTATTTTATTTAGAGACAGGGTTTCATTGAGTTGCTTAGCACCTCACTGTTGCTGAGGCTGGCTTTGAACTCATGATCCTTCTATCTCAGATTCCTGAGCTGCTGGGATTATAGGTATGTGCTACTGTGCTGGGCTGTCTCAACTTTTTAAAAATATGATTTATTTAATTGTAAATATATGTATACACATGTATGTGTGTGTATCTGTGTATAAATTTATATTATATAGAGAAAATCATGGAAAGTTAACTGGCTTTCAGCAACTGGAATGAGCAGGCTCCAGGATGCCTGGAGTATATACCCCAGGAGTCCTCACTGGGCTGCAGTTCTTTGGTCTGTGAGTGAGCATATTCAATAAGAAGGCAGTGTAGGTGGAGAAGACTCTGATCCATATTCTGAGTTTTCCTTTAACACCCTGGGTGTGTTACGGTAAGACAGTACAAATATGKTACATTTCCCAAATTTGTTTTCACTGAAATCAGCAAAAGTTCTTCAGGGTTTTGAGTTGGGGGGGCTAGGGATAAGGATGGAGACTTCCATTATTTTCCAGAAGTGTCTATAAATCATAAATTCACACTCAATCCTAAAACAGGAGCTTAAGATTGTGAAGCTTGGATT